GGGTTGCGAAAGTCCGGAACGCAACAATGCCTACAGCTTCAACGTTTGCTCTTCTGCGACATCCGATAGCAATTTTAAGAATGAAAGACCAAAAATGCACGATTCAACGCCTTCAAACGGATGCGTGAACAGCCCCATGAGCAAGCAGGCTGGTGAAAGAGACTTCCTAGTGTTGCACATATTTTGAGCTAGATGGCGCAACGTGGCACACCAAACTTCATTGCCCTGAGGGTATAATAGTTGTCTCTAAAACAATCTGTGGATGAAGCAGCGTGCTGATGAAACGATCTTTTGATGTAACGTCGTTCGATGAGCTGATTGCCGCCGCCAATGAGAGGCGTCTGCCGGAACTATTCAGGGGAAATCAATTTTCTAGCTGCCTGGATAATAGACAAGATAGCATAAAATTAACCCTGTTTTTGTTTGCCTTGCATTCTTCTCAGCTCTATAAGAGCCTCTTCACCTTTCGGAGATCGATCGCGCGTTTGTACTTGTCTACAGTACAGGCTCTGTGTAATAAACTTCTAGGAGATTTGAAAACAGTGTTTTGTGACTCTTTTCCTGCTGGTTTGCAAACAACTGTTTGAGGACATTTCTTTACGGGTTTGATCCGTGTTATAAATAGGTTAATTCAGTTCGGGACATATTAATTAAGTTTGAGGTATCCAACCTTCCAGACGGTACCCATTTAGGGCTAACGAATATTTTGCCTGAATATTCAAAGGGAACGTTCAAAGGTGTGAGCACGTGCCAGGTCGAACGGGCGTCCATATCAAACTGGTACCGTATCAAACGGGTACTTATCAATCGGATAACGCGTCAGATGTGTATCGTGTGAAACGGGTACCATTTCAAACAGGTACCCGTATCTCATCATCACGTTTTATACAAACGGGTCTACAAGTTTGCCGCCCCTTTGATTCAAACGGGTCGACCGGTTTGCCACCCGTTTGATTTTTAAATGTTTTCTTTTTCAGTAAAGAGGGGGGGGGGGGGGGCACCCTGCATTTTGTTTAGGCTTAGTATTAACTGAAGACCAAACATACGGGCCACCAGGTTCAATCAGAACCCAGGTCGCCTAGGTGATATCTCCCACCGCCTGGTGATAGTTACGAAATCGCAGAGGGTAAGGAAATTGGCGAGGAAAAAACATACTTTTGGTCCTTAATTTCTAGGCTAGGTGGCGCAAGCTACCGCCCGAAATAAAGGGCACAACCGTTAGCATTCATCCATTAACACAGTTAGGAACTCCGTGCTGCTCCGACATGTTTATCACTGTGATGATAGAAGGGAATGTGGGACGATCTTTCGAGCGAAAGCGGTCGGGAGATTCAAGCAGAGCGCAGCATATGCGGGGAGTAGCACCATCTTGCCCTCCAGGCTCAAAAAGAAGTAGAAAATAGTTTTAAAAAATTGTTCGGTTTGAGCATTTTTATTTGTAGATTTATAGTGCAGCTGCAAACGAGAAAACGACCCCTCATGTATATATATTTTTGTTTTCAATGCTTGCCTGCTTTGTTTCATATAAATACCAATTTTCCGAGAACTCATGCGGTCTTTACCGTTGTAAATCTCCCGTCGGCTCACAGATGGTTCATGGTTACAGTGACACAGTCGAGCGTGACCGCCTTCGGCCGCCAGGCACAAGCGAGCGATCGCAAGACCTCCCCTTCAAGCCCAGCACGGTACGAGTACTCCGAAACGTGCGCACACGCCTTGGGCACACGCATGCTGGCTTCGTCCTTATCGTTTATTTTGGTTTATTCTTGAATCAGATCATTACGTGTTTTCTGACTTCAAAGTAGCTCGTGATTCAACTTGTTAACCCGTAGAATTGACTATGGTGCCCCACCCCAAGACCCAACATACCTTTTAGCTATCTGGATTATGGAACTGGAAATCTTACTGGTTTCTACCTAGATTTTAGGGTTTCCGAAATTTTTCGTTCGTCTTCAATCTGATTTTTAGGTTCCCAGTAACAATTCCAGTTATATTTGTTGTTCCGTAATCCAGATAGCGAAAAATCATGTTGGGTTTTGTCGTAGGGTGGCCATTATCGATCGTTTAAGAAACACAGGGCGTAAACGTTTATTTTCAATTTTCTTGCTTCATGATTCGCTTTCGCCGTCCGTGACCTCCTTGTCTGTGATACGATGGTAAAATTCACTGAACTTGCCATGTCCTGCTCTTCTTACTTTATTACTAATTAGTAACTATACTAACCAGACCTTTCCGGGAACTCCCAGGAGACCTCGTGGCGAGGGAAAATGTGGGGCTGTTGCGATATACGCCCGTGCCCACTGGAACGCTTAGTACATCCTGGATTCGGCACGACTCATAGCCTCTTATCATTAGGAGCTCTGAACGAACCGAAAAGAAAGTGAACAAAAAGGAAGGCCATAACATCATATGGTTTACTTTCCTACTGCCTTCTCTGTGTTCTGAAATCATAAAATGTCACGTGCCGTTTATTGGAACGTTACAATGCGTGAAGCAAACGGTGGTGGCCCCACATACTTCCGGAAAGGTCGATTGGTAGCAGAGGAAATGCACTGTAAATACGCACAGAAAACAATACACGAATACATTTTCACTTCAATTTAAATTTTAGATTGAGAGTCCGATTGGGTCCGCTTCATAAATTTATTTAGTTTTTGAGCGAAACATAGTGACGAAACAGAGGACAGTTTCAGAATAGTTTCGTCTTACTGCAACAGCAGCCTGTAGGAACCCCCCCTCCCCCCCCCCCTTTCCCACCCCTGGTAACGTCGTCAGCTAAGTCATCAATCACGTGGTTGCTCCCAGCCTCCGCACCTGTGACTCCCTGCTGCGTAGAGTCCTGCCTATCCGCGGATATCCGCAGTAAACTTCCGGATTCGGATAGAAATGAATAAGATTTGACGGATTGCGGATTGGATACGGATGCCAGGGGATGCGGATCGGACGAGGATATCCGAGGGTTCGGAACCATTTTTGCCGAGGCCAACCATTAACGCGCTTAACCGCACACTGTATAGAGTGAATAAGTTCGTCTTACTATGAAGTGCATCATCGAATGTATTGCGGGGGCAAACTACTTTTTTGGATAAAAGGCGTCAGTCGGGCAAAATATCGCCCTTCACGTCAATAAACAACTGACTCTCACCAAAGATTGCTTTAGAACGTTGTACTCTAGTTCTACCTCGCCAAAAACGCCGTCCCTGGAAAACGTAAAGAATGCGGCAGCATCAGTCGTCCCGGGTAAGCGTGTTTTTGTTTGGCAGGGTAAAAGCGGAGACGTTTCTTGGGCAAAGAAAACCCAAAAAGTACAAGCCACAAAAAAGTAGATGAAGCCTTCAAGTGGCTTCTTCGCCTACAAGTAAACATTGAGGAGGCTGAATTCGATCCTCGGGAGAAGTGGAACTTTCGTCAGCACGAGTTTCGGGACTTCATCCTTGTGGACGTTCGTACATGCCATCCCAGCATCAAGTGCAGCAACAGAGATAAGCTTCTCATTTGTGGGTTCGCCTCTCCACTAAGAGAGGCGAACCAGTCTGAATGCGTCCGTGTTGACGAGATTCTGTTCCTTCTATACACAACAACCTCGACAAGTGAAATATTGCGTGTGTGTGCGTTTTCTTTTTCTTGACAGTTGAGGCTGAGTTGTTTTTAAGTATAGGGTTCCGAGCATGCAGTTGAGGGATCGCGTTTTAAACTGAAATCGATAGGAGGTGTTGCGTTATTGAATATTGTGATATTTGTTCAGTGGTGTACTCGCGCCTTATCACATACGCACGAGTGCTTTGCTGCGGTGAGCGAGCGCCTTTCCTCGCCCACTTTTTCTATTGCTTGACCTAAATAAAATGACAGATTGTTATCAGTCTGGTCTTGGTAATTTTTATGTTTATAAAATAGGCGTCTGCTTAAAGAAGGTTCTATAAAGCAAAAAAAAAATATTGAAATTTCTTTCTATTGGAGCTCATCTTCTGGAGAACGTGTAAGTCTCACGTACTCCCAAGTCGATCTCATAACTGCGACCATTTTTCCAGCGATGCGAAGTTTCTCTGGAAGTATGATCGCTTATTTTAGGAATACGATAAAACAGAATACAATAAAATTACTTTCACTGTATTCTGACACGAAACGTTCTTTGTGCAATGGTAAGCAGGAGATAGAATACCATATATATGTTTTTTTTTTGAAGTGTGCTTGGTTTTATTATGTAATATTAATGCCCGAATTAAGGATCCGATGCTTGTCTAAACTTTGCAGATGCGGTTCGCATGTGGATAAAAATTTTGCTGATGCTGATACAATTATTTAGGAAAATTGCGGATGGGGTTCGGATGCGGATACGAAGTCTGCGAGTGCGGATCATCGGACTGTTATCCCCGCAGGGCTGTAGTCATAACCACCAAAAAAACGGGTCTAGGACGTTTCGGTACCGGACAGTTCGGGACCGGACGTTTCGGTGCGGACATTTCGGTACGCGGTCGTTTCGGGACGCGGTCATTTCGGTACCGGACATTTCGGTACGTGGTTGTTTAGGTACCGGACATTTCGGTACCGAAAATTTCGGCGAACAGTGCATTGGGAAATTTTGGTTGTGAGAGCGCCAGAAGCTATTTTTTTTTCTTTTTTTCCAATTTAAATATTACTGGCCGATATACTTTATCTGCTCACATTCAAGATAAAAGATAACACTTTAACAAGTTTATCTATTTTCTTATAAATACATAATATCTAATGTTATTTACGCAATTTCTGATATAAACATCGAGGGCTGTGCTGGAGGGAAACGGGCGTGTTCTCTGCAAATGTGAGAACTTGCGTATTTGTCAGTTCTATTGTCTGTCATACATACATGTTACAAGCAGAAACTAACCAATTTAGAAAGTATTAGGCGTGCTATAATTTTATCCAAGATTAACGATCATTTTCAATGACGTGGAGAAACAAATGAAAGTCATTGGAGGCACACAGTTTTAATAACATGACCATCTCGAAAATGGTACAGTATGCTAAAACGAAACATTGTTAGCTACACCTTTCAGATAGCCGATGATGCCCGCTCTTGCAAAGCGCGCCGCAAGCGTCTGAAGCCGAGAAGCGGAGTCTCTATATTTTTTCGCCGATTTCTCTTGAACCCCCATGATGACACGCTCGAGGCGGTGCAGGTTCACGGCGTCTTCTTTCTGCAAGACGGCCAGGAACTTCCACAGGCTTGGCTGGTGACATTGAACGTGGGTCTGAAACCCTCGATGCCACGCTTCCACAGAGTTCGTTGTTTTTGCATCGCCACGGAGCACGGTTGCATGGTGGTTCCAGAGAGAGGCTGGAAACCTTGGATCCCTTCGGCCGCGGGCTGTCAGACGTCCCAGGAAAGTGTCCTCGAAGTAATCCAAGACCGGTAGCAACTCCGGAGGAAATCCTGGCATCGTCGATAACGCCTCGAAGGCATCAAAGACATCTCCTTCGGGTACGAGAGCAATTGCGGGGATCATGCGTGCTCTCAGGTTAAACGCGCCGTCGACCCGATACGACTCTTGAAGACCCTCGCTTTGCAACTTCCTGTACACGCATTGACACAAATGGAAGAAGCAGCCAAGAGCTTGACAAGACAGAAACACCCTCCTAAATGCGTTAATAGCTGCTTGTTCGAAGTACAGTAGAACGGTGGAAGGATCAGCAGCGGCACACTTGCTCTTTAGAACCGAGAGCAGCTTAGTGTATCCAGCTTCTGTTTTAGACCTCATCAAAACATACACTGCAGGGATGACCGCGCCGTTAACCTTGCAGTGAACTGTATACAGCTGGTAGAAGAGAGCAGGTGCAACTTTGAAGGTCCCATCTGCAAACCACTGCCGTGAAGAGCCTAGCAGCGCCAGCATGGCTGGGCTACAGAACACAATGAAGCGCTCTGCGTCAGTCGCACCGGAATCATGAAGAAGGAACGGTGCTCCATCCTTATTTACGGCGTATTCGTCTGGAATCACGACGTCCTGCAGGCGGGAGGGCAACGGATGAGGCCGTGTCTCGTGGGCCCGAAGTCTCCTTGAAACGAAAAGAGATAACAGTATACTAGTAAGGTATTGCCACTACTGTTGAATTAGGAGAGGTGTGTTTCATGGCTAGGAGGGTGGCATATTGTCCATCCTCTTCTTTCATGTTCTTCCCTTATTTATACTTTACCCCTACCAGCACGCTCTTCATTCCAAGCGAGCACTCCTGCTTTCCCTTATATCCGCCATCGTTTACATCCATGTGCAGTGATCAGCCAGCGAGGAAAGAGAAGGCGATTACGCCAACACGAGCCCAGGACCGCCCCGCCCCGACTTACAGGGAAGCTAAAGATGTTCTTGAAAAAAAAAACGATTTAGAAGTGAATTCTAGAGTATTTTTATCCCTTGAATCTGAATATCACGTTTGTTTTCCCCGAAGTTGCAATTAAACGCGAAAAAACACGAAAACTCTCTGACCACTCGTGACGTCATATGCAGACCTTTGGGTCGCCAAGCGCGTGTCGCTCGTGTGGACAGCGCGTGCTATTGCAAAGCTTCCCCAGCACTGACACCAGTCGTGACGTCTTTTTCTGACCTTTCTGAAAATAGCAAGAGTGCGCGTGCACACCTTTGATAGGCGCTGAAGATGCGTGATGGCGGAGATTCTGAAAACTCTGAATATGACGTAACGCTCCGGGAAGGAGGGGCTTCAACGGTACTTTAAAACATTTTCTGCAGCCCCCGTGCACCAAATTGAAAAATAATTTTGATATTCGTGATTCCGGAGGCTAAATGAAGGCAAATTATGTTTTTCTTTTGTTTTTTGTTTTTTTTTAGATACAGAACCGCTTCCGTTTCCCTTTAAGATGATTTCGCTTCTCAGTTATAAATTGTTCTGTACATAATATAGATTTCTAGTAAATCGTTCTCATGACTCCGATAACGATACCCGATACTCCGCCACCGCCTCCCTTGCGCATGCATAGTATCGTTATCGGGGCTATCGGAGGTTTTGAAACGATCTACTAAAACTCTTTAATGTAATTAAAACGCTGTATAGAGGAACGTCCTCTACGAGTGGCATTCAAAACGCCGAAAATCAAAATGCCGAATTATCGGAATGCCGAAATTTAAAACACCGAAGATTCAAAAAGCCGAAAATACCAAAAATTCGAAAAACCAAAAAGTCAAAACATCGAAGTTTCAAGATGCCGAAACATCACCTAGTTATAAAGAAAGATAAAGTTTCTTGGCACGATAAATTTTCTTGGCAATGTAATCAAAGTTAGGGGAGAAGTTCCGCCGGCCAATGTGCGCTCATTCGCCCTCTTTTCTAATAGCCCTGAAAGGTCCCAAAGTGTAGCTTCCCTTCGCATGGTTCAAGTCTTCAAAAAAAGGAAAAATGTATTACTGCATATCTCGTTGCATAGCAGAGCGATTCCGTGTTTATTGCATTTTAGACAGATAAGTTGTGTGCAATTCCTTAAAGAAAGCTTAGAACGTTGACATCGTCCCGGTTGCCCAGAGCAGCTGCCAAATGATTTTCGCGCAACTTTTGCTTCTGGCTTTGTGAGCGGCGGGGTTGGCCTCTGATCGCTCTATCGATAAAATGATTACTGCCGCACATTGCTGCTGCTCTTGTACTCTGAACACTGGGCATCACTGCTTTTTTTTTTTTTTGCTGGCTAATGAGAGCTGTTTTGTTCTACTGATACGCCTACCTTTACGAGAGATAGAAGAATACAAAATTTTACATCAGTTTGATATACTGATACTCGTGTCTTTGCAGAACGAGTTAAACAGGCTCGTGTCACATGGGTTTCGTCGTTATGTATTTTCGAGATTTTGACTATTCGGCATTTAAATTTTTCGGCATTTCAATCCTTCGGTGTACTGACGTTCGGCCTTTTCCTAATTCGGTCTCTTGATTTTCGGCGTTTTGATAGGGACCCGTTTTCTACACATGCATAAAAACAATAATCGTGCAAGACATTCACTTCTACATAGAACTACAAATAATGAGTTGATTATCGAAGATAATTAACTGCTCCAACTCACCTCAGACTTCTTTTCATGGTTGCTTGGGAGGGCAGGTAGCACCGTGACTCCGCAGACGTTGCTTCCACGAAATTGCCGACGATGCACTGGTTAGTTTCTTCCGTCTGTTGGGACCTTTCCTTCATGGCGGCGTAAGCAAATTTCGCCTCTTGTTCGAGCAGCGATGGCCCGTGTGTATGGTCGTTCACCGTTTTGACCACGTCTCCGTTGATGGTGTGGGCTCGGGCCTTACATTCGAGCTTTCGACTACACTGCCAGTAGATCTGCAAGGTCGTCATGCAATGCATTAGTATCCGCTTGCAGGAGCCATATACATGGAAGGTCTTAATATTGTCACGAATGAAGTTGACGGGAAGCCGAAAAGTGAACTGAAGGATAAAGGTTGAATTGGCGAACTTGTGCCAAACAAAAATAAGTAACGAAAGAGCGTCGAGGCAGCAGAAAATCGGGCGGCGATTCCGCGGCACTACAGAGCGCTAGCGAGACTGACTCCACAAGGTCGCGGGTAGCTGCTTATCTACCGTGCGTCACTATCTCGAAAGTTTGGCAAAGAAGGCTCGAGCGTCGCGCGCTCGGGGCGAGGATGAACTGGTACTTTCGAGAATAACAAAGCCGAGGGAAAGTTACTTCTGGTGCGAGAATGAACAGGAATCTTCTAGGAGACCGTGACCAAGTGTTGCTTTCTGCGCTCTGCGGGTGGCAATATAGATGTAAATTAAATATTTCTTTCGTGGCAAATTTTGTATTTGCATATGTCTTAATAAAGTAAGAAGTTTGCATCGTGAAATCTAGATGAGACGACTCTTTCTAATAGCGGGTACTTGGCAGTGTAAGCCGACATAGAAAAGTTTGTGTTTGAATATCAACGTTCACTGATAGCTACAGAAGTCATACTTAAGTGGGTAGCATTTAAATGCAAGTCATAGAGCATGTATTTTTTTACGAAATATAAGACCGCACATACCTTGTCGCCGTTCTCTCGTTGCTTGTCGTATTCGAACCCATCGAATAAAAGCTTGAGTCCTCCTCGTTTGCTCGGTAAAAAGGAAGCCATCGCCGAAGATCTAGCCCCGATGCGCGAAAACAGGCAATGACGGACAGGAAAACTAACCCCCTTATATACATGGCTTGCACCGACTTCACATCGCATACTTTTCACCACCATGTAAGAGGAGGAAAGGGAAGCTGCTTTTGTAAAAATCTTGAGTAACGGGTTAATCTTCTATAATCTTCTAGGGGAGAATAGCGACGTCTGTGCAAATCCGGGACGCACAAAAGAGGATCCTATTAAGAAGGGATCTCCTTCCTTTCTACTCTGGTGGTCATCAAAAAGTTTTTTGAATGACATCACTTCATTGAAGCCATGTATAACCAGAGGCTAGACAAAACGTCGCAAGTACGAATTAAAAAAAAAAAAAGAAGGCGCACTTCTTGTTTTTGGTGTATGCATGACGGGGATATATAGGTCAGCAGGGCAGGTCAAGGTCAGCGGCGCATTCAACTGAAATGACTGGTACCGAAAAGACCGGTACTGATATTACTACGTACCGAAATGACCACGTACCGAAACGACCGTGTACCGAAACGACCGTGTACCGAAACGACCGCGTACCAAAACGTCCGCACCGAATCGTCCGGTACCGAAATGTCCGGTACCGAAACGTCCGGTTCCCCAAAAAAACATCGATCAAAAATGTATAAAAAATGACCACAGCCAAGCAGTGCGGAGGTCCTGATTAAGATAGACCAACGGATGAACCGCTAAAGGGCGAACACTTCGGATACGCCTTATGATGTCTCGTGCCCTGTAATCTTACATTTTCTAGCTAAGCTGTAATGGGGTGGATATAAATTATGACGCAAAACACAAAACAAATCTAAAAACGCTAATTTCCTGCCGCTGTGTCCGGCTCTGTTTTTTTCTTCTTTTTTTTCTTAAGCATTCTTTTTTGGGGGCTGCCTTCTTTCGGGAAGACAATCTCTGATGCCTTTTTTCCTGCTGCTGTTATTGTAGCAGCCTGTCACGCAACAGGTGAAGCAACCCATTGAATACCAGAGCAATCACCCGATTAAAAGTCTCGTGCTAACCCGAAAATTTCCAAGCGCCGGGCGTACAACGGGCAATGAGAGTGCCGGAAAACTGTGGAGAGCTACAGGTACCAGAATGCACCGCGGCAGCGGTGGCGCCGCGCAACTCTTGGTCATATCGGTCTATCATACCACGTGATATGTCGCTGTGACAGTGACACACGTTACGTAAGCGCACTCGGATTTTTTTTTACAAAATACTAGACGCTCTCGTATCAGAAGAAATAATTTGCACACGCATACCCCTCAAGAAAAATGATGGTCTCAAGAGATTTGCTCCTTCGAACTCTCATTCGCTCTCCCAGAAGATAACCGGGTTCGAGCTAGGTAACGTGGGAAAAAGCTAGAGACTAACTGCAATCGACTGAGACTAACCGACAGGAGTGCGTTAGCCAAAGCATCCATTAGCCCTTCTCGAACAGGGTGCATATGTATGTTTTAGTCCCCGAAGTAAAACGGAAATCTCGGCAAGAAGACAGCCGATATTTGGCTCGCCCTGGATCGGGGTGACTCCGCCCAGCACGGCTGAAAAATTTCACCAAACGCCGACGAAAGTGGCGAATTTCTTGAATGCCCAACGATCGTTCAGAGATTACATAGTACACTCACTTTCGCGCGTTGTGTGAATGTGAGTTAACGATTGTGAAGAAAATAATCCCTGGAGAAGGGGAAGAAGAGGGACAAAGGACAAACACAAATCGCCAAACAAGGCTAAGTGACTGGTGCGTGACCGAAAAAATCCG